ATATGTGAAAGATCATACACACATCTCGATCATTAAAACTTAATGTCCAATTAAATGTTCAAATTGTTTTCCATCATTGTTCACACAAAGATGTAATCTTTCGCGCGTAGACATAACAGCTGCTTCAATCTCAGCTGTTATACTATTTATTCTGTTTATAATGCGCTGTTTCATCTCGACTCGCGTGGTTGGTCAAGTTTGGTACACTAAGTCATTCAATCTTTCCCACAGATAAAAGTCCAGATATGTTAAGTCTGGAGATTCCCCTTCCAATCCATTTATTTGGATAATTGGAAAATATCTTCCAATAAAGTTATATTAAAGAAATATGGACCTACGATCTTTCCATCAACTATACCACATCAAACATTAAGACTCCTTCTACCTTGAACCTGCACCTCATGTATCCAATGCAGATTTTCTTTAGCCCAATAATGCATATTATGCAGATTAACACCACCCGCACTATTAAACATAGCCTTGTCTGTTCACAAAGTCTTTGACATGATACGCGATTGTTCTTCTAGCAGACCTAACATCCAATTGCAGTAATCCAGTCTTGCATCAAAATCTCTCTCATGTAAAGCTTGGTGGAGAACTATATGATAAGGATGCAGTCTAAAAAAAAAAAACAGAACAACAAATATTGGTGAAAAAGAAACCACAATATTTACAAAAATCTTGAAAAATTTACAATTGTTTCAGAAGATAAATCGTTCATAAGTATTTTTAAGAAACGGATAAAAGGATGAAAACGCCGTGTTGCCGTTTTTATCGGAACATTAAAATAACAGTTGAATCTAAAGTTTAAAGGGAATTCCAAGTTTCTGACCTAAACGTTCACTTTATAATAAGAAAAACCAACCTGTGATGTTTTAAAATTCTTAGAACAGTAGTTTTGGGTATGTTTAATTCTATAGAGATTTGCCGACTACTTATATGTGGATTCTGTTGAATTAAAGCAAGAACATTGATTGTATTAACTTCGGTCATACCTCTACTACATAGTTTAAAACAAGGACTATGAAAAGTACCAGTTTCTCTTAATCTTCTTACCTTTCTTTCAAATACTTCTTTGCCATAATGTCTCCTATCTGGATATCTTACAAAATATATACGTGAGGCAATAGCGGCATTTTGGTGACATTCGAAATAAACTCCAATCATATCATACAATTCTGCATTTGATATACTCATCACGGATTATTAGTACTCATAATTAATTACTGATATTACCAATATTAATATCTATTAAAAAAAGTGCAATCTTCAATTCGGATTATAATATAACACTTTCTAAAAAACTATTTTTAATCATATAAAATACCAATGATCAAAATAGGTATCAACATTAAGATTCTTTTACTATAAAAAATTTGAAAGTACCTACTGAATTATTTTTTAATTTAATTTATAATACAGGGTGAGTCAATACTATACTTACTTATGTTTAATTTTATTTTTTTCTATTCAAAAGTACCCTCTACCTATGACAATTAAAACTAAATGAAATTATTTTATAGTAGATGTAAATTAATTTATCCACACTCTTTCTAATGACACTAATTTCGTTAAAATCAGTTAATCCAATCCAAAGTTATAGGTATTTATCCACAAATACTTCCCCACTCTCCCCCACCCTTTATTTGAAAAAATAAAAAAAAGTACTTGAACGACTTTGTGAAGAATTAAGGCCTCTTTCTAGTTTATTTATTTAACACTTGGTATAATTGGGCATATTTCTAAAAAACTGGTTTTCAAAGTTTTCTTCACATATTACGCCCCCTAGCGGTTAACCTAGAAACTTGAAAGTTATTTCCAGCGATTTCTCTTGGCCACTTTTACTAAGAAATTTTTCTCCTAAAGTTATAACATGAATAGTTTCTGATATATAGCCGAGCGATCGGCTTATTGGACCACCCGGTACACACTAAAAAGTTAATCAAAAAATCTAGATAAACCTCACAATCAACTGTACCATCAAAAAAAAAGGATCAATAACTTTATTGTTAATGATACCAGCACAAACGTTAACTTTTTTAGGATATTGCGTGTGACTCTCACACACCCAGTGAGGATTTTCTCTGCTCCAATATCTACAGTTATATTTGTTAACCGTTCCGTTTAAATGAAACGTCGCTTCATCAGAAAAAAACTATTTTGTTTATGAACCGCAAATCTGCGTTCATTCTATTCATCATCATTTAATAGAATTCTTGTCTTCTGTCAGAATCATCTTCATTTCACTTCTGAACCAACTGAACTTTGTAAAGCTGGTATTTTTCTTTATGCAAAACTCTCAAAATAGATTATTTTTACTTACATCATTGACTGCGGCAAGTTCTCGAGTTGCCTTATGACGGATTTTCCTCGATCTCTAGAAGTGCATCTAACTTTTTTTCATCAGTACCATTACCATTTCTTATTAACATTTCTACCTGGTTTTTAAATATTTTTTATATGTCCAGTATAACGAAACTTCTTTTTAATTTTGCTAACTTTAGACTGCGACACTTGTTGACCAGAATATTTATTATTAAACATTTCACAAACCTCCTTTTGAGTTCTTGTTTTATTACCACAACCAATCATAATTAAAATGTCTATTCTTTGAGTCTTGGACAAATGAGCCACAATTAAATTTAATACGCACACAGATATACTGCCGTCTTTTATTAATTTTAAATACCTAAATGACAGCAGCCTACTAGATTCATATCAATTGTTTATTTGGCTTTTCGACTAATATTTTATTAACTTCAATAATGTTTAGCAGAGCAGATACGAAAATACCTGATTATTTTTAAAGTATATTTTAATAGACCAAACAGTATTGCTGATTTAAAAGTTAGGATAACTGAAGAAATTAACAAAATAACGACCGAGGTCGTACAAAATGTACGAGAATTGCAAAATCGCCTCGGTTATTGTCAAGAAGTGAATGGTGGTCATTTTAAACTTTTCATTTAATTGTAAAGTACATTAAAAAATACATTCTAAATATTATGTGACATTATTATCGTCATTCAACCTAAAGTTTTGTGATAGAGACATTATCAAAATTTTACATCTTAAAAATCACTTTTCTCACTTATAATTGCCTAAACTTTAAAAAACTTTATATTGCTGAACAGAGGACTAAACTCCCTTTCTAACAAGGTGTCACACGACCCCCTTTGTTATTTAAAATTTTCGAGGGTGCTTATAATTCAAAGGGGGTGGTGGAGGGGGATAATATTTTTATACTGTAAATTGCCAATTTAATAATAAAAATGGACTTGTTTTAGGTTTTTTTCACATAGTACATAATAAGGCTATAAATGAATTTATTCCATACATATGGACCGCATGGTATATTGAAAGCTAAGTATATTTTGCACACGACAGACTAATAAAATATAGGGTGTTTCGTTTGAAATAAGTACGTTATTACAGCATGAATTTACTAATAGAACAATCTAATATTTTGAACACCCTGTAAATATTTTTGCTATAATAAACATCTGTTTAAATATCACAAATGGTCTATTATTAAGTCCCACGACCAAACTTGTCTCCAATTTTTAGTTTTGTGAACATTTAATTTTTTGTAAAACCTTACATTTTTAGAAAAACTAAAATAAATTAAAAACCCTGTATTTAGGTATAGGAAACCCTTATAAAAGTATAGCATATTTTTTACTGACATTTCAAAAATGTCATCAAATATAGGGTGTTCGATAAAAACAAAATATAATTTTGATATACCACTCTTTTTTGGGACATCCTGTATAATTCACGTTATTTTGAAATTGTAGTAATAATGACCCTGTATAATTCTGTAAAGAAAAAAGGTTTGTATATTAAGCCGTTTTCCGTACAGAGACCGACGCGTATGGATGGGCCACCCTGTATATATGATATTTTACCATTCAGCCTAACCGACTGGTAGCGATCTTGTAGAAAGTTTTGAAACCAAGATATCAAATGATTACCTAATCCCATAGCGCTTAATTTTGCTAAAAGTAAGTGTGATTTGACGTTGAGGAATCTGTGTAAACACAATCCATTTGAGAACCATTCAAGAATTCAACAGGTCATTCGGATATATCAGAAATAGATACATTACTTCTACTTGGGTAAATTCCATGTTCTTTGGTTAGCCAGTCAAGATATTGGTCTTCTTTCCATATTGCTTGTGTCCCAAATTTTGTCTTGGATTATGAATCGCAAAATGCTGTATTTTGTTCCACGCATTTTTAATATTTCAACATTCATGGCGTGATCCACCGATGGGATCTTCAGAATCTTTTCATTCACGCCCGTCTCAAAGGAATTCAATCGTCTTCTTGAGGCAACAGAGTCCATTAGCAATATCAGAGATCAAGAACAATGGTCACGGAATAGTAAAAATGAAAAATTCTTAGACATTTTTCTCTAAAATGTATAAGAAATTTTTTGTAGACAAAAAATTATTTTTTCACTTTTTATGATTGTTTAAAAAAGTAAAGCAAATTCAGCTGTACGTCTTCACGTATTTGTCAAAAGCTACCCCTCATATACCTTTTAAAACTTGTATAAGATTTTTACGTCAAGTCGATGATTTTTTCTCTCCATAATGCGGTAAATAATTTCTAATTTCGCTATATGCTTTTGTGGTATTCATATTTACAACTTACTAAAAATAGAAATATAAATTGACCTACCATTTCCTAAGACCATTAATATTATCACCGAGTAGCACAGTCACATAAATATTATAAGTATAATTCCAATATAAATTAAACTTCACAAAAAATTAGACACAAAAACATTTTCGCGTAATTTAATAACAATGTATAATATTAAATTAATAAATTAATGAATATTTCACAAAATCTTTTTCAGCAAACGTTATAAAATATTTTTTATTGTTAATTATCTGTACTTTTTATATATAAGTCTAACCATTTCTAAGATTGATAAAAAATATACACCAGGAAGTCCCTCGTCCTTTGTGGTTTAATAGATATATTTTGCAGATGGCACCACAAGCACTACCACAACAACAAATGGATAATAATGTAGTACACCAGTGCAATTTACTTATGCGGCAAAATAATATGAATACAAGTTCTCCCGATGCCGTTAATTTTAGAAATCAAATTGGTAATAGCGAACATGACGTTAATGTTAATAATGTACAAAGTCCTTTGAGGTCCAGTTCAAAGTATGCCTTTTCCTCGTAAGTATTAACCATTTTTTTTATATTTGTCGAGCTATTAAGTTTTGACAAGATTTTTTAGTATGCCATTTGCTTATATCTTCCACCCCTTTTAAAATCATTTAGTATTGTCTCATGCTAAAAACTTGAATTTAGTATATGGGCTCGTCAATGTAGAAGCTGATAAACATTCTGATTTCAGAACGCACATATTAACAACTAATCACCTATTTGTTATCTCTCAGGTAACCGAGAAAATAACTTCATTTGGTTAATATAGCTGAACTTACTCTCTATCTTTCAAATAGCCTAAGATATTATATCTCAAAAAAGTGGTACACTAGGCGGTACTGTAGACTAGCGTGAAGTTTTCTGTGTTTTAAAATTACAAATAATATTTTTAAAATTGCAGAAAGTAATTTGATTATTTATTATTTTAATTACATGAGTAATTTAAGAAACACGTGGCAAATCTATTCTTTTTCTTCCTATGCCGTCCCCATTAACGGAGGTTGGCAACCACATTTCTAAAAGTTTGTCTGTCTTATGAAACGTGGAATAATTTGTCTACAGTCATGTTTGTCCAGTCTCGAATATTTCGCAGCCGTGACTTCCTCTTTCTACCTATTTCCTTTTTGCCATCGACTCTACCCTGCATGATGACCTGCAGAAGACTATATTTATCATTTCTCAGTATGTGTCCACGGTGTGCAGTCTTGCGTACTTTTATTGTTCTCAACAATTTTTTGTCTCGGCCCATCCTTACTTCCTCATTGGTGACCCTGGCAGTCCATGGAATTCTCAACATTCTCTGGTATATCCAAAGTTCAAAGGCTTCAAGCTTCCTAACTATTTGCGCTTTTAACGTCCATGTTTTTACCGCGTACAATAGTTGGGACCAGACGTAACATTCAACAACATCTCAGCGCAGTATTCAGATTTTTTTCACAGAACAATTGCTTGAATTTTAAGAACGCTGTCCTTACCATTTCTATTCGTACTCTGATCTCTTGGTCTGGATCTAATTCTGTGTTGATGTAAGCTCCCAGATATTTATATTTTGTCACTCTCTCTATTTGCTGTCCACCAAGGGTTAGTTGTTTATTATTTATTGGACTCCTTGATACTATCATAAATTTGGTCTTATCTGTGTTGATGTCAAGTCCCATTTGAATGCATTCACTATTTATTGCATCTAGTAAAGTTTGTAGTTCTTCTGTACTCTCAGCCATAATTACCATGTCATCTGCAAATCTCATGGTGTTTACGATTTCTCCACCAATTCTTATTCCCGCTTTTCTTTCCATAAGGCTTTTCTGAATGTGACCTGTGAGTACACGTTGAAAAGCATCGGAGACAAGACGCATCCTTGCCTGACCCCTCTCGCAATCGGTATATTATTTGATTATATATCGTTCACCTTTACTACTGCTTTCTGGTTCCAGTATATAGCCTTAATAAACTCAATGTCTTTTTTGTCTAAATTGATATTTTTTAACTCATCTATTAACTTCATATGCTGCACTCAGTCAAAGGCCTTCCTAAAGTCTATGAAGCATACATATGCACTCTTGTTATATTCCCGACATTTCTACAAGAGTACCGTCAACGCAAATAAAGCCTCTCTTGTACCCATGCCTCCTCTAAAGCCAAACTGCGTTTGATCTATCTGCTCCTCACATTTCTTATAAATTCGGTTGTGAACAATTTTCAAGAGAATCTTTAAAAGGTGGCAGATTAGGCTTATCAATCTATAGCCATTACATGATTTGGGATTGTTGTTTTTTGGTAGAGGTAAGAATATCGATTTAAACCATTCCTCCGGTATGTTGCCCTCTACATATATATGGTTGAGAATTCTGGTGAGTCTCTTTATATTACCGTCATCTAAGGCTTTTAACAGTTCAACTGGAATTTGATTAGGACCGGTGCTTTTCCTTGTTTTGCATTCTGTAGGGCATGCTTTATTTCTGAGGGTAAAATTTGTAGGTATTGTTCTTCTTTACTTATATCTTCTTCATTTTCCCTCTCGTCATGGAACATATGGATTATATATTGTTCTCATACTTCCTTTATTTTGCTCTCTTTAGTAAGTATTCCTCCATTATTATCTTTTGTTGTGAGTGTTCTTCTTTGTCTCGTGTTGCCTGTGAGTTCTTTCATTTTTTTATGTAAGTTTGAGGTGTCATGTTTTTTGCTAAGTTCTTCCACTTCCTGGATATTCCTTGTTTATCAATTCCTCCTTAGCCTTTGTGATTTCATATTTGATTTTATTCTTGATGGTTTTATATTTATTTAGTTCATCTAAACTGATGATGCTTTCTGATTAGAGAGCGAAACGTTTTCAATAAATAGATGAAATAGTCACTTTCTTTGTGTTTTGTGTTTTTCTCTAACTTTTGGCCGAAAAACCCACCACTCTTCGAGTAATCCTTTATTTATATTGGATTAACGGTCGTACTCCTTTTCTCGATATATATACAGTGAAACCTGGATAATTCGAATCTCAGGGGACCGTGAAAAAAATTCGAATTATCCAAAAATTCGAATTAAAAATATATCTACAAAAAACAGTGATAGCTACAAAAGCTTCTGCAAACGATAAACATCAACACTTTTGCAGATGTTTTCGTTCCTATTCTTGCCCGAATTTTGTCAACAGAAAAAAATGGGCAAACAAAATTCGGCCAAGAATACCAATTAAAACATTTGCAAGCTATAAAAATGGTCAATTATTGTCATTATGACAGGTGTTCTCATTGGCATTTTCGGCCAATCTTCCGTCAATATGTTTTCAACCAAAAAACGTCTGTTAAAATTTTTTATGATGCCCTAGTTCATAGGCCGGAGAACTGAAGTCATGTTGGCACGAAAAAAAAATGTTTTTCATTTACATTTACATTTTTCATTAGTGGGATAGTGTTGTAGGCTGTACAGTTGTCAATAAACAAACTAACTTTTTTTCTTTTATGAACATTTTGTCTAATTCCACCAGCCATTTCTCGTAAAGATTCCTAGCCATCCAAGCTCTTGCACTGCTCACATATTCTACTGGTTTTGACTTGACGTTCTTAAAACAACGCAGATTAGCCGACTTACCAATCATCAGCAGAGGCAGCACTTCTGATCCGTCCATTTTTGCACCAATCAGGAGAGTGACTCTTTCTTTTTGCTTAGTTTTCCTCCGTGACATTTTTCATTTTTAAATGTCAGTGTGTTGGCAGGAGTGCCTTTAGAAAAAGACCCGTCTCGTCAACATTGAAGATATCTCTTTTATATATATATATCCTGAATCAACTCATCCAATTTTTTCCATTCATTGGCTTTTTCCTGATTAACGGCTCCATTTTCTCCACAAATGGATTTGAATGAAATCTTGTTGCCTTCTTTGAAGCCATCTAGCCACCCTGTACTTGCCTTAAAGTTGTTTTTCCTATTTTAACAACAAATTGTTCAGCTTTGCTTCTTATAAGGGGACCCCTTACGGGAATCTCGTTATCCCTGGCTCGTTCGAGCCATTTTACAACATATTTGGATTTTCTGGCCCCCTTAACCATTTTCGTTCTTTACCGCACTCACTTTCACTCTTGAGATTTTTTTCTTTATTCTTCAACTAGGTATATCCACCTACTTAAAGAAGTAGGTGTGAATTATCATGTGTTAGGAGGAATTATACAGGGAATTCTACTATTCTAATTCTACAGTTGATTCTACAGAGCAAGATTGAGGGTAAGAGAGACCCTGGACGTAGACGTATATTATGGCTGGCCAATCTTAGGAAATGGACTGGTTTAACGTCAACTGATCTATTTAGAGCTACTGTGAATAGAATAAGATGGGTCAATGTGGTCGCCAACATCTCTTGAAGATAGGGACATTTAGAAGAAGGGGGAATTCCAAATTCCTTGGCAATCTAAGATTTTTTTCTTCGTCCCATTTTCTACTTTTTTAATTGCCGCTATTTTTCCGATAACGTCAAAGTTCTCTAACGTCCCATTTTCTACTTTTTTAATTGCCGCTATTTTTCCGATAACGTCAAAGTTTTGTATGTTCGAGGTTTACTGAAGGGGCGTGCCGGGTGGCTAGGAATTTATGGCCAGTACAATGCACAATGGTCTTAATGTCTTGAAACAAGTGGCTCGTGAGGATAGGAAAGAATACTACATCTTTTCGCGGAAAATTTCAGCATGAAATTGGCATTTTAACTTGTAGAGAATTTCGAATTATCCAAAATTTAATTCGAATTATTTAAGACTTTTTACCATTACTTATATAGGAAATGCTAGGGAACAGAATAAAAATTCGAATTAAAGAAGATTTCTAATTAGAGAAGTTCGAATTAAGCATGTTCCACTGTATATATATATATATATATATATATATATATATATATATATATAATATATATATATATATATATATATGTGTGTGTGTACCAAACCTCTGACTTTGTTTAATTATGGCTAAACACTATGGAGTATATAAAAAATGTTTCAAACAAAACTGATTTAAACTTTTTGAAATATTTACACTTTTATTGAGTAAAACGGTAATATTTAAAGAGCTGTGGATTAGGTTTGCAAATACAAAATTTTCTCATTTTTTTAATGCAACACCCTGTATATTAGTATTGTATTCTGTAAAAAATATTACAACCTTTCTTTTGGTATGAGGTTTTATATACCTAGCATGTTTTGTTTTGTAGACATTTAGAAGAGAACTATAGATTTTGTTTTTGCAAATTTTTTATTAATAAGTTTTGTGTTCCTACTGAAATATAGCAAACAAATGTATAATCTAATTTTATAAACATAGATAAAGATATCAAAAATTAAAAAATATGCTATTAAAAATTGTATGAATTTAATAACTCATTATGTTAAAATATTTACCTTATATTTAAGTTATATTCATAAATGTCTTATTAACTATGTTAATAAATGTTGATAAAGGAGTACCGAACGTCCTATAGCAGGGGTGGCTAACTTAATCGGACTCGAGATCTACTGTCTGGCTTTTTATTTCTGTGTGATTGTGTGTGTGTCTACCGATTAGGAATTTTTGAACTATACTGGCGAGTAATAAAACTTTTAATCCAGAATTTTAACGTGAAAAGTGAGCTGAAAAATCTCGTAGTCGCTCACTATATCTCAGAAAATCAATCTCTGATTCTGAAAGACTATTTTATCCTCATCCAAATTTTGTTTTTCAATGCAAGTATAATTTCAATTCCAAGTAGATTTCATAACTATCGCTTTTTAAATTTCCTTCTATAAAAAACTGCCCAATTAACTAGAACCACTACACCCGATCACACATTTAGGTTTTGTGACATTTAAGTAGGGTTTTCACGTATTCAGTGTGGATTTATCTCACTAAAATGCTTTAAATTTTGGCGATTTACATTCTCACACAGTGTAGATATTGCTTCGTCGGAAAAACGAAGTTCTCGTCGGTTATAATTTTATTCATCATTACCTCACTAAACTGTAATTTACAGTCGTAGTCATCTTTATTTAATTCTTGCAACAACTAGATTGTGTAGGGTTTAAATGATTGTTATGTAATTAAATGAAGTAGACTTGGCTACTTCACTATAAGATCTTTTTCTAGCGCTGTAGCCCCTCATCAAAAACCGTTTTTATTGTAGAGCTTTTAAAAACAGATAAAACAACTTTCAGCTTTAGTTATTAATACAATTTCTTTTAATAAACTTTTCAATAAACGTCAAGCCATTGTTAGTTTTATGAATTAATGTCAAAATCACAGCATTTTGTATTTACTGAATTACTTCGAAACCATTTGGTACTGAGAAGTTTTATTTATTTAAGAACTTCGTAACTAGATAAAATACCAAGTGGTTGAATTTGTATTAAAGTCAGGATTCCAATAATATGATATACAGAGTGTTGTATTGAAAAAACCAAATTGACTAATGATATTAAAAAATGGTAAATCTGGCAACATTACAAGCACCAAATTTGAAAATCTCCGTATTGCAGAATAGGCGTATCCCGGTTTTTGTACAATTCGGACCATTCATTTAAGAGATAATTAGGTGTTTCCATATTTTTATGTCACTCTGTATATGTCGCTTTATTAACAGTAGAATAACTGTTGACTTTCATACTTAGCATTTCAATATTTTTATAGGTGGTACCATGGCAAGATATCTCGTGATGAAGCTGAAAACTTATTGCGTCCAAGGTCAGATGGCCTGTTCCTAATTAGAGAATCCACAAACTTCCCTGGTGATTACACCTTATGCGTATGTTTTCAATCAAAAGTTGAACACTATAGGGTAAAATCGAATAGCGATAGGTTGACAATCGATGACGAGGAATTTTTTGACAATTTAGAGGAACTTATAGAACACTACAAGAACGATGCCGATGGTTTATGTACAAAATTAGTGAAAACCTTGCCTAAAGAAAACGAAGCCTTATATTCCAATACCAAGACATCGGTGATTAAGGAAGGAGATGATCTGTTTGTTATTCCTGAACAGGAGCTAACAGTATGTACCTTAAGTTTTATATAACAATAACTTACAAATTAATTATTTAGCGTATTAAATTATTAATAAACATTATACAGTTTATAAAAAAAATGATTATTTTTGTTTTTAAATTATTACATCATCTGTCAGGTGTTGTCTTTAGTGGGTTCTGTAATTTACTTGTATCGATTTTTGCATCTGTTGTTCTTTGTTTTATTATTTGCATTTTGATCCTAATTTTGGTTGTGACCTGGTCTTATATTGGCACTCTGATATGATTTTGCTGATATAACTATGTTCCTGTATCTTTGTCTAAGTAATACATAGTATAAGGGGAATTTTGGGGTAGGTACACGAAATACACATTAATCACTTGTTATTGTAAGTTATATTGAGATGTTAGAACATTAAAGTTGACAAAAAAAATAAAAGTCAGCGCGGAGATGTTTATTCGTTGGTATTCGTATTATATATAAAATAATAATTTTTCCCTAACTTCTGATAGTAAAATCTTCATAATTTGATGCCGAAAATCATAATAGAGATTTTTGTTAATAGAGCGTTTGTTGCATAAATGAAAACTGTTTAGTAACATCGTTTACATTATATGAATGCCAAGTTTTTTGTACCATCTAATCGTTTTCCGTTCACTGACAATATGACAAAATCTTCTGATCTTTGCGATCAATCCCTGATATGTATTTTTTACACTGCACAATAGCATTCGGCTTTTCGATCATCTGTCTTCTCTTGTTCTGTAGCCTAATCAATTAACCGCTAAATTTTGTAGAAATAAAATATATTTGTGTCTTGTCACGCCACTTTTCTATTGTGACTCCGTCAGCATATTTAGTTATAACTCCCTCCCCCTTTAGTCAATTTTGTGTTTATAACTTCTGCCGGGTTTCCTTTTCTGTTCAATCTTAACGTTCCTGTTACGTAAGTTTTTTTTATCAGAAGTTCTTTACTGAGAGCAAGGCTGTTGTAATAATTGTCCATAAACAATGAATGCCCTTGATCAAAATAATTTCCCCTTCGATGAAAATACTACATGAGCGACATGCCCCATGTCTTCCTGCATATCTTTCTCTGCTCCACTGTATATTCTTAATTTTAATGTAAGTCCATCTGGTTCAGTCATATACACTTTTATTCCAAATTTATGTCGCTTGTTCTTGATATATTGTCTAAATGCTAAGCTAAGCCCTCGTCAAAGAACCATTGACTCGTCTAAGGAAAGCTGTTTATTTGGGTAATAAATTTGGTCAATTGGTTCGTTAAAAAAATCCTGTAGCCACCTAATCTTATTCAGCTGAACGTTATAACCTGACTGGCCTACTTGTGGTGTTGGCGAAAAATGCAAACATCATAAGATTGTAAGACAACGATTTCTATTCAGATGTCTAACACATGGAAGATTGTATACGGTATCTGTTTTTGCATTGCATTTGTGCAATCCAAGAAACCAAGAAGAAAGGTAAAGGCCAAAGAGAATATTTCCTAGCGTACAGTGGAGTGAAGGAAGAAGAACGAGCACGAGCAGGCGTAGGTATACTTGTCCATAAAAAATTTAAAGACAACATAAATAACTGCCGTTATATCTCCGAAAGAATAATACACATGAACATCACAGACTACCAAAAATTAAATGTCATATCTATCTATAGCCCTGAGGACTGCAAACCTAAGGAGGAACGAGAGGCATTTTACGAACAATTGCAAACCACCCTGGATGAAATGCCTCATGAAGAGCCCTTAATTCTTATGGGTGACTTTAATGCACGAATAGGAAATGAAATAGTTCCAGGAGTAAAACAAAATTTACTGAACACCGCACTTAAGCTTACCACAAAAGTCCTAACCAATAAAATCAATAAACTAACAACTTTATCAGATAAACAACAAGGATTCAGATCCGGAAGATCCTGCGTAGGCGCCGTATTTGTACTAAGACAAATCACAGAAATGGCCATTGAGCACAATATACCAGCATAACTATGTTTTATAGACCTGACAAAGGCTTTTGATCGCATCCAAGTCGAAGACGTTTTACACCTACTGTATAAAAGAAACATACCAATCAATATTATACAAATCATCTCGAAAACATCTACCTCCATAATCGAATACCGACAAAGATAAATGGAAAACTAACACAGTGTATACCAGTACAAAGGGAGTCAGAAAGGGTGACTCGTTGAGCCCACTTCTCTTTAAGATAATAATGGACGAAATAATATAAGTAGTACGTAAAGGTCATGGCTACAGAATGGGAACAAAGAAATCCAAATATTATGTTATGCAGACGACGCCGCATTAATCGCCGAGACACAAGACGAGCTCCAAAAATTAACACATATCTTGTAACGTTCCAACGAACATTCATTGGACGTCAATCTATGACGTGCCAACAAATATTCATTGGGTGCCAATTTGTAACCCTTCGAGGCTCAATTTGTAACATCCCAACGTTGAGCTGCTGTTGTCAACCTGTAACCGCAAACCTTAGTTTGCTGCTACAACCTGACTAACATCACTAACAACGTTGGAGTGACAAATCGTTTCCCGTTGGGACCAATTTTTAACGTCATAACCCCTAATGTATCAATTACAAAATTGCTACATTAGACGTTATACGAAACACTCCCTGGCTAGCTCACTCAGGACGTGAATATGGCCTACTCTGGAGCAACACACACAAACAAGTAAAAAGAAGAAACAATACACAGTTAAATTAACACATGTTTATTAAAATATAAAAAAAAAACAGAAAAATAAATGTTAAGTATCGTATTGAATTTAAATAAAAATTATTCGACTTCTTGCTACAGTGTTACATTAGGTATATGAAAGAACAATGTTTGTCACCAAATCCTAAGTTTTATCCTGGTCTTTTCTGCTCTGGTTGTTAGCAAGCCATGTTGTTAGTTTTGGATTTTCTTGTCCCGGAGTCAACTCTCCTATTGGAATGATGGTTCCATTCTCAGGCCGGTTGGTCTTCTGGATGTTAATAGAATTTGACCCGCACCTGAGAAATGTATCCCGGAGGTTGACTAAAATGAAGAAAAAACACCCCTTGCTTTAGAAAATGGTGAAACCAAAATGAGAGACCTTGCTTGGGGGATGAATAAGGTGACCAATCAAATTTAACAAAATTTTATCATTATTCACCCAAGCAAGTCGAGAAACAATTCTTATTTATGTACTTATAGGCAAATAAGTAAAAGTAAGGATATATATAACTTTAATGCAAATGGTAATTACTTTTTTAAAACTGAAATATTCTAATATTAATTAAAAAAAATGACAAGATATATTTATTGAAAAGCTAGATAATTTAGAAACATTGCTATATAGAAATGGTAGTTTGTCAAAAGTTAATTATTATTAAAATCAAAAGATATTATGGATTTAAAATTCATATTTAAAACTATAAAAATCTTCGTAAAACTTTTACATACTATATTAAAGAAACTATATATTTCTTATCGCTAGTTTTTTATATAAAATAAAAAAACATAAGAGATATCCAAAAAAAATATGTATCTACTTACATGTCATACCATAATCATAAATAATGAGCTTAGAATTTTCAAAGTTAAAATTATAAAAAGATTTTTATACAACAGGTGGAATTAGGAAATCGATCAAATATATTATACACTTACCTCCAAATCTGGAGACGACACAACAATTGGTTATTCTACTCTTAGAGAAGTCATGAAGAAAATCGACATTTTTAGAAAATAGAAGTCTTTATATCGACTTTTGTATCGAACGGGAAGGGGAAATGTCAACAGAGAATAAAGATGGGACCTCTCGTTCCAAAGTAACAGAAATAGAGATGAAAATAAAATTCACTCTTTAGAAACTTGAGTAAAAGATAAAAATGATGATTATTAAGAAAATAGGAAAGGTAGATACTAATATATATATATATATATATATATATATATATATATATATATATATATATATATATATATATATATAAAGAAGATAGATTTGGACGCCAACTGGTTTTTATACCAAATACCAGTAAAAATGAAAAGAGAATAATGAATCAATTAAGTAACGACATAATTCTGATACAATCTATATCCGAGAAAATATATAGAAAAATAAGAGATACAATGGAGGATATAGAAGAATATGAATTATGACAGAAGATACGGAAATTGGAGAATAGAATTAACGAAATATATTAACATAAGAAAGAAAGCAGGCAATGTAGCAGTTATAACGCTACAATCTTCAATACAACAGCTAAGAAATACAATATATCAGCAGAAAAAACCAAATGTATGACAACATCTAAATACCCACTACGGTGTAAAATCGAAATTGATGGGAAAATAATAAAGCAGGAAGCAAGGTTTATATCTGCGAATAGATATAACTAGTTACGGAGATGTTGAAGAAGAAGTACGACAACAAAGCTTAAAAGCAAGTAAAGCGGCGGGTTCTCTTAATGACACAATCTGGAAGAACAAACACCTAAGACAAGACACAAAAACAAGAATCTATAAAGCAGCATTTAGACCTATATTATCATACACGGCGGAGACAAGACCTGACACACCCAAAACGAGACGACTGCTAGAAACAACAGAGATGAAAATACTCCGACGAATATCAGGGAGAAGTCTGTTGGATAGGGAGAGAAGCGAAAACATAAGAAGAGCATGCAATATAGAAGACATAAATGGATGGGTGACAAAACGAAAACAGGAGTGGAACGAAGACATCAGTAGAATGGCAGAGGATAGAATAGTACGAATAGCACGAGATAAGTCACCACATAGACGAAGAAGTATTGACAGACCAAGAAAAAGATGGTGCGACAATTTAAACAATTTATGAGGCTAATATTGAAGAAGAAACAGGCTTTTAAAGCCTACATACTAGAAGGAAGAAGAAGATCTGTTTTCCAATAATCTTGAATACGATTCAATTGAATATTGACCACGTTCAACCATAAACTCAAAAATACTGTTAGTGATGAAACATTTAACGGTTTCCAGGTAGTTATGTGGAGTGCTCTTTTGTTTTTTCGCTCAAAAACAAACAACGTACGTATTGGTTACCGCCACTATATGTTCAAAAAAGTCATCAGTAAAGAATACTGTGTAAAGAAGTTAAAAAATCATACGGGTTACCCGTAAGTAAACTTGTTTTTAGCCCAGAATTACCAGAAAATTGAAAATTATTAAAATTTGGTAAATCACTCCATAACAGCACGTTATTTATGTTACGTACATTTCTATTTGAATGAGCATGTGAATGGTTAAGATTTTCTAAATTAGTTTCATCTACGGCTTCTTCTTCGTAGGAACTTAGCTCATCACTTTCTGAAAATAGTTTGATATCACTATCAGAAGAATTCAACAATTCTTCTGTTATTCAGATAAATTACATAGATTTATAGGTTTTTTTATAGTCCTTTCGAGCACTTTTTGGTCTAGATGGTCCTGTAATTTCACCGTCCATATTGAATGCGCTTCTATCTGGCAAATTAGACTCCTTCCTGGCTGAATCTAATGTGTTTTTCTGTTATTCTTTCTAGGTGGAAAAGATATTTTAAATCTACCTTTTATTCTCTCATATTCTCTCCCAGTGTTTGCTAATTTTTTTATTTAGTATAATTTTTATTATGTTTCTAGATCCGAGAATCAATAGGGAAGGGAGAATTTTGTGAAGTAATGCTTGGGAAGTGGAAAAGCAATAAAGTAGCCGTTAAAGTATTAAAAGATTCGAGTGAAGCTGAGGCAATATTAATGAAGTAAGTATGTGATCAGATTTCAAAATTCTATCATTAAATTAACATATTGGATAATTCTCTACTAAATGGAAAATTTCTATCCCAAGAGCTAATTTTATGTAATAAATGTTAATATTTAAGTTGTTTGTATCATTAACGATATATTATTAGATATTCTTGGCACGTCACAGCATATTTAGTATTTTAATAATGGAATATTTAAATAAATGAACCTCAAACAACTGAAAACACAGTTCTCTGGTATTCTGTCACCTGAATAAAAAATATCAAAATACATAAAAAACTGTTAAGAATCTTTAGACCTCACTATTATATTTTTAAAATAAAATTTTAATCAAAATCAAAAGTTGAAAATAACGCTGAGTTTTGATGCGAGACATCTAGATTGTTAAATGGAACGTAATCGGTGTGAAGTTTGTTATATTGTGGAAACCGCTATTTTGTTTAGTGCTTCTACTGCGCTTGCTAGTGAGGCACGCGTCTCAGTCCTTAGTGAAAACAGTCTGGTAAGCTTTTTTTTACTATTTTAAGAGTTTTGATAACAATTTATTTAAAATAATTGATTATATATCTATTATGCAGCCACATTTAGTTTTTCTGGTATGTTCACATAAGTTTGTTTTATTAAATATGCATGAAAAAATAACAGTCCCTGTCGTTTTATTGCCAAGTGGACTGGACTTATTTTTACATGAATACTTAATAAAATAAAATAATTTAAACATATCAGATTAAAGAACCAACTGTGGCTACATACTAGGTAATCAATTATTTTAAACAAATTTTGGTAATTAAAACTGTAAATAATAAAAAAGGTTACCAGAGGACTGTTTTCACTAACGACTGATACGCGGGGTTCACTAGCAGACGCACTAAACAAAATAACGGTACCTCCACAATAGATTTCTGATGTTTAGTTTTGACAAATATTGCAAAAGTTACCAGATCTAGATTTACATCTAAAAGGAAGAATATTTTCCTATATCTGTACCAGTTTTCGAGAAATAAGTTAATTTAAAGTTTTTTCCTGAAGTACAATGATAACACTCATTTTTTTGAAGGCACCATATATAATTAATATTAATTACTTTAGTTACTTCAAAAGTATTAATTTTTCAAAGTATTATCTCTTGTTATATTTATTAAGCAAAAGTAATGTTTTTTTGTTTTTTTTTATTTTATTATAACTAACTGTAGGGTCATAAAATTAGAGTCGTTAAAAATACTATCAAATTAAACTTAACAAAAATAATTGTTTTGTTTATAAAAACATTCCCCTCAATGGCTATAACAGTCTCCTGTCACAGTTTTGCATAAAATTGTCCATAGCTCAAAAACTAAGAATAAAATGTGTAGGTTTTTAAAGATATATATTTAATTTACTATTGCCCTTCATTTTATTAACCAACATTCTTAACATTTAATAAAATTTGCTTAGGGACAGTTTTCTATAGAAAATTTCCGAATAGCAGAGAAACACCCGTCAATTTTTGTTTCTAAATGGGCGGTTTCTCAGATTACTTTTTTATTTTGGACGTCACATATATGCATATATGTATTTCTTTAGGTCTCTGCACCACGAACACTTAGTCAATTTACTTGGAATAGTCAGAAAAAAGGAACAAATCTACTTAGTCACAGAATATATGAGTAAAGGAAGTCTAGTAGATTACTTAAGGTCCAGAGGGAGGCAACACGTCACCAAAAAAGATCAAATCAATTTTGCCTTTGATACCAGTTCTGGAATGGAATATTTGGAAAGAATGCACGTAGTGCACAGAGACTTGGCGGCCAGAAACGTACTGATAGCAGAAAATGGAAGAGCCAAAGTATCTGATTTTGGATTGGCTAGAAATGAAAAGAACGCTACTTCCGAGTCAGCTAAATTGCCAATTAAGTGGACTGCACCTGAAGCTCTCAAGCAAAACGTAAGTAATAATTATTTCTAGCACTATTAATTAATTATTATTCAAAATTTTCTGAATTCTGTTTACACCTGTGTAAACATTTTTCTCCGCATGAACGCTTCATTGATCTTGCAGCAACAGTTTTTTTGCTTTTAACAGAGATATAGGTCTTTCCAGAATTCCTAAGTCTTTTGGCTTTGTTTGCCGCCCACTCTGAAGGACGAGCGATCCTTTTTTCCCTCTTTTTAATTTTGGCTTGCCTTCTGAGATTTCTTCGAAATGCGCATCACACGTATTTTGAAAAACTTCATTTGTAGAAGCAATCAAGTTATCTTCGTCAGTACTGTCACTTACTAGAATGTAATTGTTCAAAATCAGGATCTTTTATTGAGTCATCACTATCAAAACCGGGTTTAGTTTACCGAAAATACAAGCTGATTATAGCCGCAAATGTCAAACATGGAACAGAAAATTTCGGTATAGCAGTGTTGGGATATTTTTATAATGTAGATGCTTTATGCTTCAGATATAAAAAGATAAAGCTTTAGAAAAGCATATTTCGTTTATATAATGTTATGAATTCTGCAATTTTTGATTTATATAAAACAACAATGAGTCAATATTTGTTTCTTTGGAGATTAAGTGCAGTTAATTATTAGAATTTTTTTTTCCAATTACCCTTTGATAGATTAGGGGATATATTTTTCAATCGTCAAATCAGCAGTTGCCAGATTACAACAGATGTTTAGAATTAATCTCGAAATAGACAAATATCTACTCGTTATTGCTTTATATAAATGAAAAATTGCAGAATTCATAAAATAGTATTCAAAATGTACTTTTTAAAAGCTTTATCTCTTTATATTTGAAGCATACAACACATGCACTATAAAAACATGCCAACACTCCCAAACCGAAATATTTTTGACATTTGCGGCTATATTCAGCTTGTACTTTCGGTAAACTCAACCCAAAAATCGTATCCATATTGGTTGAGTTTTCACCGAGTGGTTTCGGAACATCATATTCATCAGTATTGAGGCAATTAAGAGCCGGTAATAGACTCAGTTTTATCATGATGCATAAACTCTCGCAAATTTTTCAAGTGTTCTTCAGTGATAATGGTGCTGAACCGATCATATCCGAAAATGAATGGTTGCCATCGTTTCCATCATAAATTGGAACTGCTGAGTCAAATCTTGATTGGGTTTTTAGTAAAAACTTTTCTTTCTTGAGGGTACCAGTTGGCTAGATGTCGATGCGATGGGATCTGTGCAAAGCGAGACCAGATAACGCCCCCGTCCACAATCTTCTAATGTCTGAAAACAAAATAATAATTAACTTACAAAGAAGTGAAAACTTCAAAATTTGTAAAATGGTATATTTTTTATTTAAAAAGTAATCCAAAAGGATTGTAAAACATCGAAACGTTTTCGGTCTATCAGACCATCTTCAGTGACCTGGAATAAAGTATTTCCACTTTAAAATTAATACAAAGGTAAAATTTGACTGTTGAAAAAAACACAAATGTGGTTTAACATTCCGTAATACAAAATTTACATTCCGTAATACATACAAACTTACATTCCGTATAGTAATTGAAACTAGCCAACCAGATGTTAATTGATACTCAAAGTTACATCGTTGATATATAAAATAGACATTAAAATCATGACACAATGTCGATGACACTGGATTTGTAAAATACTAGTAGCACGGCTACATTGCTCGAAGCTGAAGTGATTCTTAACATAGTTACTGCTATTGACAGAATGGAAATGAAGTATTGAGTGAGGTTCAAATGACATGACATGACAAGATAGGCAATTTTTAGTTACGATTTTTACGATATTTTAAACTATGGTATACAGCCAATCACTGGGATCTTATATTTAATTTGAAAATGATAATTATTGTTGAATAAATACGAATTTATAAATAGTGAGAAAGCATTGAAGATGCGTGACGAATGGTACTTACTTTGCTCCTTGCGTAGTGGGACATTTCAAAACAAAAACAGGCTAACTCAAAAAACAGACGAAATTATGCACGAATACTGGACCCTTACAGTGCTTGTGCCTGACTGAGATAATTTGAGATGGCGCGTTATTCTTGAATCGTCTACCACCTCCAAGCACCAGTTGAGTAGTGCATCTAACGCTCCCCTGCGGCGCTAATTGCAACTACATAAATCCCATTACTCGTGAACTGTCAAGCACTAAAAGCTGTAACAAGAGGTAGCAATAACTCGAAACTCGCCATTTTTGAGTTGTCCCATTATTCTTGCCGGAAGGCGATATATCCATTTGATTTTAGATTTATTTATATCAATTTACGCCGTTATTAATCAAAATTCAGAGCTAGCGCAATGATGTCAAATGATTATAATTTCGAGACGAATTTATTCACGTAAATTTTATTGCATTTGAGTGGCATTCCATTTCCCTTATGTGTGTGCGATATATAAGATGTGTGTGATCTCCTTTATGCCACATATGTGGCGTCCTCTACTGGTTACATTTAAAGTATCCATCATATTATAATTCCTTATACTCAAAAGCCCCCCGTTATAAATTTGTATACATGTATCCATAAACATGAAAGTTCTAGCGAAAAATTATATTTTTAATTTTCACTTTAACACCCTGTACCTTTTTTAATATTAACATTTTATTAAAGCAAGTTGGCTGAAAATATTTTAAAGTGTAATATCTGCTGTTTCTTTTTGGACAATTACTTAAGGACCACTCTGTATATTTATAATCTATAATCTTCAAAGTTAAAAGGATTTTTTAGCCTCAAAATCTAGAATCTTATGAATTTAATTTTTTAGCACTGAGGGTCATTTTCTATAAGAAATGAGCAGAGTCCTTTCTGCAACTAGTATATGTTCTATATTATTTTAATGTAAAAGTAAATAACATCTTAATATTTTTCACAAAATAGTTTACTTTTTTTCAGAAATTCTCTAACAAATCTGATATGTGGAGTTTTGGTATACTTTTATGGGAAATATATTCATTTGGAAGGGTACCCTATCCTAGGATAGTAAGTATAAAATATATTCTATATAAAAACAAAAATTAACAAACATATTTTAGCCCTTGGCCGATGTGGTGAAACATGTGGAAAAAGGATATAAAATGGAAGCCCCAGAAGGATGTCCCCCAGAAGTGTATGAAACTATGAGACAGGTATGTTTAAGTTGATAAAAAGAATTAAAAAATATTATTACTTCATCTAATTTACTTAATTAATTATTGTTACATATTTATTATTATTTATTATCCTCGGTATGACACAGAAATTCAATACTGTTTATAGATTTTAATGCTGTCGCTAATATTAAAAGAAGATACTAGAAGAACTACAAGAAGTGGAACAGTGGACGAGGTCGACAGGTTCTATTAAAAAAATAAAATCAGGAAAACAAGATTATGTATGATGAAAAAATTACATAGAAAGAAGAAATTAAAAAAATTAAAAATCAAGATAGATGATAGCTCAATGGACTATTTAAGCTCTGACGTTACAATGGAGGGGAAAAACCTTTCCAAACATTTCTAATTTGTGTCATTCTTAATAATCCACAAGACAAGGCCGAAGCTACATTACAGGCCGCCCTCGTTTCCCCTAATAACCCCAACACCGAAAGATCCAAAAGGGACGCAGAATGGAGAGTAGAAGACATATTCTATTATCCTCAGACACATTGGTGGCTGCATCCTCACCAGATAATGGTCCCTGTGACTGAAGACACCGTCAGGCAAATGTGTAATATTAGAAAAAACACATTTCCTGGCTCTGATGGCATCCACAGAAGATGCCTAAAAATGTTCCAGAGAATATTATCCCGTTGCTCACCAACATAATCAATGCATCTCTTACGATGAGCTATTTTCCAATTCCATGAAAAGTGACCAGCACAGTCATGATTCCCAAACGAGGTAAAACCCTCACCAACCCTGAATCGTACAGACCTATTTCTTTATTGAGCACCCTAGGTAAAGTCTACGAGAGGATCCTTAAGGACAGACTCGTAGAATACCTAGACGCTCACCTTGTTATTCCCGATGACCAATTTGGATTCAGGGCTGGACACTCCACGCATAATGCATATTCCTTGACGTCCAGAAGGCATTTGATGAGGTCTGACACATAGACCTGGTCGAAAAACTTCTTGCTGGACTGCCCATACTTTTCGTTAAACTAATAAATTCCTATCTCGCCAATCAGGATCAAAGTCGGCACCCTATCCACACCCTTTACTCCACAAGCTGGAGTACCCCAGGCTTAATAATTGCTCCAATACACAGTCTACAATAGTGACATCCCCCGCCGACAGCATAGATCGGATACCCTTCTATTGTACGCTGATAACACTGCTCTCCTCACGTCAAGACCATATGGACAATTGTCTGTATTCGAAAGAGCACAACATTTTCTAGAAAGAGTCGTTAGGGGGTGCAATAAATGGGAGTGACCATAAATCCCTCCAAAACACAACTAATCCTATTTAAATCTTCAAATTGTCGTGAGGTCCGCGGCCGAGTAACTCTGTTAGGAGAGGACCTTATTCTCAGAAACTCGGTTTCCTATTTGGGAGTTCATCTTACTAGGACTCTCAACTGGAAAACCGACATTCAAAAAACCCTTGACACGGCGAGAAAGAGGGCTAATCTCCTTGCAGTTCTATTCGGCAAATGGGCAAGATGGCATTTAAAACACTATTGCACACCTATAAAACATTCATAGATCTATATTATCGAATACAACGAATTCATCTACGCCTCCCTCAAACCCCATGAAATCAGTGCAATGGCGGCTATTGAAAGAAAAATCCTCAGATCCTGCATGAGGGTGAGCAGACACTATCCATCAACTCACATACACATATTGGCAAACATAACAACTATTAAGGACAGAATCCTATCACTCAGCAGGAGGTATGTCCTTCGAACCATCACTGGCTCGAACAATCGAGCGAAACAAGTATTAAAGACACCTTGCAATCGTCGAGGGCAAATACTCACCAGGTTTCCACAAAGAAAAATTTCGTTCCCACCTACTAAACTTCTACATATCACTGGATATGAAACCTCTGACGAGCATTTTGAAATTTTAGAATCAATCCCCATTAAATATCGCAGTTAACAACTGCACGCCAAAAATGTTGATTACAGTATGGCTGTTCCTACATGTCCTTCGACATGTTTGGCATAGCTCCCCTAAAATTCCTCTTGTGCGCTTCTAACACATCGTCCACACAAAGACGCCATCTCCTTAGTAGTCCACTACTTCTCCACACTCCAGAAAAAAAAGGAGTACAGTACCCCTTCCTTGAAGAGTCGCTAAGCCTAAACAAGGTTAAAACTCAGGCTCTCTCTCTCATTTCTAATTTGTGTATATTTGTCCCATAAGAAGTTGGAAATATTGTTTTTTTAATTGTTTGAAGAATCAATAACGGCTTTTGGTTCATTCTGTGCGTTAGGTATTATTTGATGCTCGTGAATTTATGAGGTAAGAATATCAAAGGATTAAGATATTTACTATGAATGTTCATATTGTAAGGCTATGATATGGTTTGATTAAAACTATAATTATTTTTTAGTGTATTTCATGGTATTTTGTTGTTGTTTTTATCCAGGTTATTTTAAAAATAATTAAATTTTAAATGTTTTAATCTTTTTTAAGTGCTACTGATTTTATCCCCTAAAAGACTAAATATATTCGTTTTCTCGTAGTTTAAATAGTTAATAATAGTTTTGTTGTCATCACTGAAAAATTCAGTAATGCTGGATATCTGTAACACATGTTTACTAGCCATTACATACCCAGATCTAAAAAATAAACTATTACATTAAAAAAACATTTTTGTAAACACTTGTTATGGTAATTTGATAGAAAGGTTTCCACATAATATTATATTACAATTTAAACTACGAGAAAACGAGTATCTTTAGTATTTAACAGGATAAAATCACTGGCAACGAAAAAAGAAAAAAACATTAATAAATATTTTTTAACTTCGTAAATAAATTCAATGATTTATTGATTTATTTTGAAATAACCCTATTAAAAACAACAACAAAATGCCTTTACATACAGTAAAAAAATAATTAAAGTTTTAATCATACAAATATCTTACTACTTTGACATTCTTACCTCACAAATTCACGAACAACAAATCATATCAATCACACAGAATGAATATTCATAACCAAACGTTCTTATTTATACTTCTAACAATTAAAAAAACAATATTTCCAACTCCATGTAGGACAAATAGACACAAATTAGAAATATTTGGAAAGGTTTTTAAAATACCCGCCCAATCTGACGTCAGACTTATGTAGTCAGTCCATTAGGGAGATATTACGGAATTCTGAAAATATGCTCCAAACTTTGGTAAATGATAATCAAGAAGAATCGAATATTATATACCAGAGCTGTCCACCACAAGTAATATGGGGCCACCAAATATAAAGAAAAGAAGAATGTTAGGGCCGCGTCATATGCGACTTGGTAAATGATTTATAATGAATGAAACTGATGAAAAAGCGAAATTTCCATTTAATGTATTAAAAAAAGCGGGACCCTTCCGTGACGTCATGCAGATGCCTGCTCCTTGGATCTAGCCCTAGAGAATGCTGGTCGGTTTACTGTTATGCCGACGTCGGCATTGTTTACTTGGGGTTAAATCAGACAGGTAACGTAACAATACATAAAATGAAATGATGATGAACATGTATTCCACTTGCACCTTTCATAGGACCGGATTTTTTGGTAATACATGATAATACCTAGCCCCACGTGGCTAAGGATGTTCTTTATGACCTTTATGAAGTGAAAATTATAACTTAAGACTGACCCTCAGGCAGCCCCGATACGAATCCATTAGAGCATGTCTGAAATGCTAAAAAGATGTATCCGATGCTCCACTGAATTTTACCTGAATTGGAGTAAGCTGCTTATGAGGAGTGGGAAAACAATTCATAGCAAATCTTCTAAAATTTAATAAGAGGAATGCAGGGTGAATGATTTAAACTGTTATTATAACTAGAGGTGAAAACATTCTATATTAAAAATACTGTTGGAAGCCTGGGCACCATAAATTCCTCCGTAACGAAAAACTTGTTACTTTAACCTATTTTTGTTGGATAAATGTAATTTTTTACTGTCGGTAAATAATATAGAGTTAAAAGTATAGTTTAAAATACATTTATTTTTCGTCTGTTTTAAAAAGACAAATATGTCTTATAACTAAGTGGTGCGATAATTTTGTTTAGTTTATATCCTGAATGTTATAATAATGTATTTATTTTAGGCATGGGATTTAAATCCAGATAAGAGACCATATTTTCATGAAGTCAAAGCAAGACTTGGAAACTTAAAACAACAGACTACATTGTGAAAGAAATTATCTAATATATATATACTGAGTAGTGTTTGTAGCGTGGATGTGGTATGCATAAATATTATATGCAAACTTACTATAAAATAATTTTGTCATTTTTCACTTATCACCATTTTTATTAACAAAGTCATTAATCTTCAATATTTTGAAACGCGGGATTGTAAATCTTATTATTTAGCTTGAGTCTAAAGTAGTATTGATCATACATTCCAATTGTAGTTTTTATATAAAAATATGTATCTCCCAAAGAACACTCAAAACTTGAAACAAATATAACATACTAATGTATTGATAACCCTGAACGTCTCCTAACCATGATTTGTCCATATATGACAGGCAGTGGTGATGAAAAGTTGTGAATTATTCAATCTTCAAATCAAAGGCGCAGTGAGGAGCCTTTTTTATCCTGTTTAAAATCACCCCCCAGTCTTCGGCCGTCCTCCACCCCAGGGTGACACCTAAGGCTAGTATGAGCAAGAATGGGGACAAGCATCATCCTCCTTCAATCCTAACCACAGGCTGTGTCGCGTGGACTAAACACTACAGGGACTTCGTCAACTGTCTCCCTTTCACTCACTGCACCCCTCCAGTCGCCCCTCCGTTACATCCTTCCTCTCAATCCTTGCCAACGACCAGACAACCAACACACTCTCCTCTCCTTAGTGGCCAGAACCGCGCCAACAAATCCCGCATTCATCTTCGCTCTTTCCGCTACCCATCTAGGACAATGGAACAGAGTGTGCGTCACAGTGTCCACCTCTCGGCAGTATAGACACCGTAGACATTGTCAGCCGCTTTCCCGAACCTCAGGTAGGTCCGGAAACATCCATGGCCTGTGAGCACCTGCCCACATTCCAGCCACCGTCAGATATCCGGGATCAGCGACTTCGTCCACTGTGCCACATTGTGCACCCCTTCCCACTCTCGCTGCCACTTCTCGATAGTAGTGGCCCTTTCCGCACTTCTTATTTTTCCATCCACGTTTCCACGCACATATAACCTATGCCTCTCTCCCGCGACAAATGTGTGAGCATCACACCAGTAATAACATAGAGAGCAGCTGTAGGCGCGGTGCGGTATGCGCATACCGTACGGATCAGGCAAACCCGATCCGTCCGCATCAGAAGATTTCTATAACAGGAAATCTCTGCTGCTTTATACCACACCGGTGCCGCGTAGAGGACGATCGACTGAACGATCCCGGTTAGGACCCTTCTCATTTCGGAACTGGGTCAACCGATGTTGGGCATAATCTTCCCCAACGCAGCCGCTCTCTCCGCTGCCCTCCGTGTTACACTCCTGAGGTGCGCATCAAAGCCCCGTTCTCATGTAAGGTTATACCCAGTTACTTTACGCACCTACTGAGTACAATCCTTACTCCCTCATATTCAAACCATACGCATTCTCTCTTTCTCATCCCCTTCAGGATAATGGCCTGAGTTTTCTCTGTTGCCAGTGCAAGACCCCGGTCATTCATCCAATCATACACACCTTCGCATGCGGCCGTTGATCGATGACGGAGTTCGTCCAAGTCCCCCGCTACTACCAGCACAGCGAGTTCGTCCGCGAACGCTAAGTGCTTACAGCCCTCAGGGTATTCGCGGCGTAAGGTCCCGTCATGTGCTAGATTCCATAGCGTGGGACACAGAACAGATCCCTGCGAAACACCGTCCGATACTTCTACAACCATTCCTTTGCCAACATCCAGCTTCCTTTCATTAAAGTAGTCCCCAATTACATTCAGAAGGTTATCCGGACTACCCCTCTCCTCCAACGACCCCAGAACCACTGCCGGCTCAAGCGTATTGAAGGCATTACGGACGTCGAACAAGATGAGCGCGATCACACTACGTGGAGTTTTAAACGCAGTCCCATGGGGATCTAATTAAATCGACTTTATTCGAATCGAATCTTGATAATTTAAGTGTTCTTTGGCACCAATGGCACCAATAAGATAATCAAATTTGTGTTTCTGCTTTACAAATCAGCTTTCCCTTGTATGTAAGTAAACAACGTCTTAGATAAGCGGCCTAAGTTTATACATGCACATTTTTGAAATACTATAACGGCTTTTACAATGACTATGATATCTAGATTTGATTGGGACCAAGATTTTTGTTAAAAGGAACGATTTAATAATATAAACGTTGGCCTACAGAAGTATTATCATTTCGATATGCTCTTTGGTCTGCATATGGTTTTTGCAGCAAATATATTATCAACCATGATAATATCTGCATGCCAGAAGATAGATATACGCATTAAGATAAACAGTTTTTATTAAAAGTATAACCATCACATAGTATGTGGTGGTATCTCTTTTTCTATAATTTTCCTGTCTTGATTTAAAAGGGATCCAAGGTCTTTCTCCTTATTATTTCTCCATATATATTTTTCTTCCTTAATCATTTCTGCGTTTTATCATATTGGTGTTTTTGCTATTATTGGACAAGTGGAAGTCTTAAATAATCTTCAAAAATTACATTGATTTAATTGCGGTTGAGTAAATTATAGGATAGCAATAATAGAACAACTATAACGCTATATAACAATTTCGGTAATTGTTTCTTAATTTTACCAATTTTATGCTCTATTTTTATTCTATCTTGGTTTATATTTTTAGTTTAAAAAAATCTGTCACATCCTTGTAAAATTTGCTGTTTGTCTGAATGTGTATATCGAGAATTTTTTAATGTGTAGCGTAGATATATTCAATAAGTAAAATTTGAGGTTATCTGAACAAAAATCGATAAGAAATACTTGGCCTGGTTGTTTAAAAATACCCATGCCAGTTAATTTTACACAGTACATTTACACATACTGTACAAGTTTCCATGACGTATATGTATGTGATATTTACTACTTAAAGACTCAGTTCGTGTAGATTAGATTAAGTTTTAACTGTTTGCTCTTCATAATCTTGAATATTGGTGAAATTGTGTGTATTTAAGGGTGGCTTTTTATTTAAGCAAAATTACAATATCAGCAGATCATTAGTAAAACTCTAAAAATATTTAGGACTTATCGAGGTAGATATTTTCGAACTTTTTTAAATACAAAAATATAGTTATTAATAAATATTTCTCATTTGTTGAATTTTTTTGTCCAGCAGACCTGTCATTGTATATTTCTTCGTATGTCATAGATCAATTTTCAGACTTGTTATTGCCGTTTTTGTTTTGCTTCTTAAATTTTCATAATGTCCAAACGAAAATTCTTTATACAAATCAGTATGTAATGATAATGTCATTTATTAGGCGAATTGCATCTTTAACTTTTGTAATTTAAATCTATATTATACGTTGAAATATAAACATATTTATCGATATTTATTTAATTCAGCAAATAATCCGTGAAATGAAAATGTAGTGACTATCATGTATTCAACAGGAGAGGTCTTATCTATTTTACGATTTTTTTGTTCTGATGAAATTGTAGCTTTTATTAATTGAAATTATTCAACTAATTTAATGCCTAAATAATTTGTGATATATCTAACAGACAATCACACGAAGTACGTGTTGTAGTGCTCAATGGTTTTTGCTTTGCACAAAATACTATGCTCTATTTTATACGATTTAATTATAGTAAATAAAAAACCACCCTATAAAAGAGTGTTTTCACCATTTAACCACTACAATATTCTTATACTATATTCTTAGAAATCACACCTATCCTTTCTCAAATATTGGTCGACTAATGTCGATCTTTTATAAAGTATTTTACCCCACATGCATTTAGTTAAGCCTCTCAGATTTTAAACTGTTTATTACGCCAAATGGGTTTAGAGAAATATTAAAACATGCAAGCAGCACAACAGGCGAATATGTACATAATTGTTTTCTCGAGTTTAATAGAAATAATAAACTTATCTGTTTAATGATTGAGCCTCAACAAGATTATGGGTTTTAGAATAATGTAAAGTAGTAATTTGACATTGTTAAACAGAATCTATATATTTATAAGCGGACAACAAGCAGAAAATGAAGAAGAATAAGAACAATTAAAAATAAACAAAAAGTATAACTATTGGGATATTTTTAACAAATTATATAAAAACCACAAGATATCCGAACACTATACTCGAGATGTTTACACTGCTGTAAGAGAAGAAACAATATTTAGAAGACTTTTCTTTAGAGTATACTGTAGCTGTTACTACTTTTAGGGGTGAAATCAGCCTGCAACCTATAAGATCTATTCTGTCCTCCTTTTCTTGCTTTCTTTTTCAATGATTGTTTAGAGTCTAGTCCCATATATAGCAGTATGACTTATTAAAAAAGAACGTTATAATCTATAGAAATGGAAAATGAACAGGAGCAATTGGAATAAACCAGTATAGATAGACACAAAAAAGATAGATTGAAGAATCGGAGATGAAAAATCTCAATAAACTGCAATACACTTAGAGACAAACTGCAAATTGTGTAATCTGAGTATACTATTTATGAAACACTAAAATCGGAAATGCTAAGACCGAAATTAACATGCTTGTGATAAATTATCCGAAATTTTGATACTGTGATAATTGCTAAGATGTATGATTGATGGATAAAATTGAGCTGCGGGTTATATGGATTTTCTAAACATCAATAAAACTTTAGGATTTTATGAAAAAAATTAAAAGTCGTACTAATTGAAAAACTAATTAAAAAATCAAAATGAGAACAAAGAGAAGGAGAAGGTTGACTTAAAGTTGGGCTTAAAACAGAGATTAAAATAAATCATAATAACCGCATTCGTAATAGAATCAAAGTCTAAATTCAAGTAAAAAGAATTTATGAAAATTCGCCGATTACAAAATAACAACAAAGTAACAATTATAAAATAATATCACTACAAACCATAGAATCAACCACTCAAAATGAAGAACACAATTTAGACAAGATACTATCAAACACAATGCTGGTCCAGGATGAGGCAAAGTGCTCATAATAGAGTCGAAATAAAAATACATGGAAATCGTATCCAAAGATTGAAGGTTAACTTCACTGATAGAGAAATTCGGAATAACATATATATATATATATATATATATATATTATAATATATATATATATATATAATATATATATTATATATATATATATATATATATATATATTATATATATATATATATATATATAATATGGAGCTACGTACAAGAAATAATATTCTATCAAATTGAATAACAATTTTGACAACTGTTTTTTTGTATTAAGATGGTAGTTTATTTAACGTATATCAAAAAATTTACCATTTTTTCTCTGAAACCCAATTTTCTATGGTGGTAAATATGGTGAAACCCCTCTGATGAAAATCTGATGAATGTTGTGTAAATTTGCCGTACTTTTGGTAATGAAATCTAATACTTTTATTTATCTTACAGAACATGACGTTTTTTTAGATCTTAGTCAGGTTCGTTTGTAAGTTGCTTGTTTTTTATTCGAATGGATATGTACTTGTTAAGTTGTATTAATGATGTATATTTTTTATTTCTATTTTTAAATTCTACTGGAATTTAAAAAATAAACTTTTTATGTGTTAATCGTGTTTCATTTATTAAATATTATATTAAATTCTAAAAGCATGGTTTTAATAACTGGAATTGCAGAGTATGACAAGTCGTATTTTGCAAAAGAAAAGAACAACGATAGTAAAACTCAACCATCAGTTCTTAAACCCTCAAAAAATATCAGTATGTGTACCAACATAGTAGAAACAAAACTGTATTGGAAAATAACAGTGAGAATAAGGTAGTAGCCAATTTGCAACAACGCTAGAGAAATTGAATCGTCAGATACTTATAAACAGTAGCGTAGGTATTACATATACTTTTTACCGTGTTATCATTCTCAGCTGATTCTACCGATTATGGTGCAGCCTCCCTTACCTAGTCGTTCTTCATTTCTGACCATCTATTGTCAGTTGCTCTCGCTGAATGTCTCGCCCACTGCCATTTTAAAAATTACATCAGTGACCTTGGTGTCTGACCCATTTTATTATTCGATCTCTTTGTTATAACTAGCATGCATCGCTCCATTGAATTTTGAGTGACTTTGGGTTTCGCAATTATCTCTTTAGTGTGCAAGTTGTATAGCCGTATGTAATGATTG